TCCTGTACAACCAAATTTCCAATTAGAAGATCTCACGGAACGTAACGATAAAACACCCTCACTTAAAAATCCCGTTTTTTTTTTCACAAGAATCTCGACCCACACATCAAAGTAGAAGTGGAACCACACTTCCCACAAAGGAAACACCATACAAACAAGCAAACAAACAAACAAGAGGTAGGGATGGAGGGAGCAGCAGTGGGAACAGGGTAGTAGTAGTAGTAGTAAGTGGTGAGTAGTGGACGACACTGAAGCAGTCAGTGAGTCAAAGAGTCTTCGTCCGCTTGGGTCCGTCTTCATCTGCTACCTCGGATTTAGGACCAGGTAGGTTCATAGGTCCAGCTGTGAAAGTAGGCCAAGCATGCTACATCACCACGTCAGCAAGACCATAAAAAGAAATGAGCGGGTGGGGAAAAAGGGGGGAAGTGAGGTAAGCCAGGGTAAGGGCCACCCACCCTCTCACTCACCCAGCCAATACGATAATAATAATCATAGGGACATGCCGGGCCGGGAATAGCAAACCCCCGGGGCCAGACAAGAGGCATCTAGATGAAAGAATCGATCCTGGGGGTGGGTCACGGGGACGGGACGGGCCTCTCCCCATCCTCCTCTCTCTCTCTCTTTCTGTCCACCCTTTTTTTTTAGCCCGTCCCCCCCCCCCCTGAAAACAAAATATCCCTCCCCTCATGGAATGGTTTCTAGGGTTTGAGTTTACTCTTAAGGAAGCAGATGATTGGTTTAGTTATTTGGTTATTCTATTTATTTATTTGTGCGTTTGGGGAATAATGAATGAATCGGGGGATGGTGGATGATAGCATGCTGTTCACTTTACTCTGAAGTGTAGCCTGGTTGTATAGATAACTGTGTGTTGGAATTGAAGAATGGACATTGGAATCATGGGACAAACCATGACCAATGTGGACTAATTGGTTTTTGGAGGAGGAATTCTATAATCTTATACCCCCCCCCTGCACACACACATACATACATACATACATATTAAATTTTAACTCAGAAATTTGTTAACAATACATTCAAGTGACAATTTAGTTGGGACAAAATCAAGATTTTAAGATTTTGGTTTGGTTTCATTTTTTCAATGTGCACATAATTGAGGCGATTCTTAAAGAGTTGGATGTGTTTGTTTTTGTTTTAGGTGTTTTGTATATATATATATATATATATATATATTTTTTCCTGATATGTGTAAATGAATCATGTAATAGAATTTGATATATGTATATATTTTTTAATATCAATGATTTTTTTAAAAAAAATCCCTTTGTAGTTTAAAAAACATTAGCTTTGACTCGTTTGTAAAATATTATTTATTTCATAAGAGTTCATCAAATCCTTCCAAGGTACCAAGACTTGAGCTTAGTGTGCAAAAAGACAAACAAACAAATTGATGTTTCATTAAGCTTCTCAACCCATGAAAATAAGATCTATTAAGTTAGACCATTCAGATCATAAACTATTGTATTTGGTACAAAACCATGAAAGTCAATTCTATGGGTATGCATATTTAACATCAAACAACAAAACAACCAAGTGCACACAATAGAGATAAAATGTTATTATCAACTTAACCATCCTTAAGAATACATTACAGATGTATATCACTGTACTATAAAATTGTAATTTTTGAAGATATGAAGAAAATTAAACTGGGTTACTATTGTCAATTAAAACAACAGGATCACTGATCCAACTCTATGATATGACCCCATATCAACATGACTTGGATAACAAAGACTCATCCAAAACTACTTTCCACTCCCATGTTTTGCTTTGTGCAATAGTTTCTAATTAATTAACCAACAAAGATAATTAGTTTGATCAGTCAGAGTTGGTGTAGGTCAAGTTGTATCTCACAATGCATGGTCTTCAATAACTACAGAGAGTCCATGATAACCCATGAGCATCATAATTCATGTAATATGGCCACAGAAGTCCTTCACATTAGGGGGGGGCATCACCATTATTAGCAATATATTTAATTAACATGAGGGACAATTAAATATTAAAGTAGTAACAATGACCCTCTTAAGCAGCTTTTTTTTCATGTGCTGGGAAGCATGGGACTTCATGGAGCCTCTTGTGCCTCTGACACCCACACACCAAGTCCCAACCAGTATCTTCCTAAAGAATGTTTCCATATTTTATTTAATTTAATTTTTTCTTGGGGAATTTGGTTTTAACCTCTTCAAGTTGTGTGGTGTTTGACATTGGAAATTATATGTTTGTTAGTGTGTATGTATGTTTTTATATTGCAGCATCTGCCACCACTTTGTCTAGCATTAAAAGAACAATCGTTGCCTGAAAATACATGTATATACATATACATATATATATATATATATGTGTGTGTGTGTATGTGTGTGTGTGTGTATGTGTGTGTGTGTGTGTATATATATATGATTTGTTTTAATTAATTTTTAGTTCTTACTGATATTATTGTTGTTGTTAAAAATGTAAATGTTGAAGCTGTTGTAATTTATATGTAGAAATATGGGTTTCACTAGCATTCAGGCGATGAAGCAAGTACAACAACCAATTGAATAGAAGAGGATTTATTATTCTACTAATTGGAACAAAATTCATTTAAAAGTATATCTGAAACTCCAAAGTCTGGTTGCAGTAGTAAAGCACAGCTTATGCACAGAGGGAAAGTGTGCAAAAAAAGTATTAAAATGCTGGTTTGTTGCCCTATTTAACTTCTAATAACTTCACGTGATTAACCACAATTTTATTTACATGTCATTTCAGTGCTAGTGTGTTCAAAGGTTATGGCATAACAGGGTTCTTAGAGTTAGTTTAAAGATCTTTAGATTGCATATATATATTAACAAAGGTTATTATATGTAAAGAAATTAATATATATGTTTAAAAGAAAATTATATGTAAAGAAAGTAATGAATTTATCATTACTGTCATTTTTGTATAAGAAATCCCATAGTTTGCAAGGAATATTATAGGTCTGAAAATAAAATCAGTGCACCTAAATAGAGTATCTCTAAAGGATACAAATCACTCTAATTTTATTATTTATTTATTTATTTTTTTAATTTTTTTTTTAAAATGATATTAGTGCCTGATATTTAAGAACTAATTTCACACCCAATTGATGTTTTTAATAATTTGAAAAAGGTAAATTGATTTAGTTTTGACGAAATTTTATGAATCAAATAACAATAAAGAGTGAGTTTATTCTATGACAGTTTTATTCATTCATTATTAGGATATGTATGTTTTTATTAACATGTCTAACTAACTCGAAATTGATAGAAATTTGATCATTAACTTTTGTACAATATGAAAAAAATCAAAGTTAAATTTGTGATTCATTCCAATAGATCTGATAAATGTAGGGATTTTATCCAATAAAACACTTTATGAAGATCTTAAGCAAGATGAACATGTTTATTATTAATGTATGTTGCAACTTAAGTACTTTAAAGTAAAACATAAAAGTAAATAAGCTTTTTATTTATAAGAAAATGTTAAAATGACTCACTCATTTACAAAATCAATCTATTCTATCATAGAGAATGAGGGAGAATAAGGGGGAGTCTAGATAAAGCAGGCTAGGAATAGAGGAAGTAGAGGATGGGAATGAAGGGGTGGGGATAAAGGCCATGATTATATTTATGGTTTTTGGAGATGATCCATTTTTCAAATGATGGTTACATTTTTCTAAGGGTGGATCAATTTAGTAAACAGGCAGGCCATTTTAATATTTTTCTATATATATATTTTTTAAATAATATTTTCATTTGAAAACTTATTATGACATACAATAACACTATTTTAAACTAATTCATGACTTCGACTTTTGTAAAAAATAATATGTAATTTCTTTTAGACATGACTTTCATTTCTCATATTCATATTTTTATAGAACTATTGCAATAAGATTAATTTTGTACAAATCTATTTTTTTAATTTTTTATATTGTTTAAATTATTTGAACTTAATAAAAAAAAAAAGCATTCAAAAATATTTTGTATTTGGATCAGCTTTAAAGTAATAATGTTTTTAACATTTTTTTTTTTTTTTTTTTTTTTTTTTTTTATGTTCTAAAGTTCTAAGTCTTGAATTTGCTTTAGAATATCAAGGATGTCAAAAATACAAACAAATATATATATATATATATATATATTTATTGTACTAATTTTTTTGAAGATTCCAATTTAATTATACCACATCCAATTGTTGTCATTATGATTTTTACATGTAATATCAAAGTAAATTTGGTTGTGCAATGTGTTTTGGAACCCAAGGTAGACAAAAACCTTAAGGCCTCTCAAAATCTAACTATTTGTTAAAGAAAGACGTTAAATAAGACAAATCAATAAATCTATCAAAACATTACGTTCGTTTTGCTGCAATGAATATTATTGGGAATTGAAGTTGAATAGTTGCTCAACATGTCTTTCCTCAAAGTATAAATAAAATAATGGATTATATATGTTTAAAATAATATCTCCCATACTGGTACAATTTATTTGATTTTTCTAATTAAGATGTATATGTATATAGGTATAAAATATCATTTGAATTGAATAAGAAAATAAAAGTCCATTGCTCATCAAATATAACCTGCATAGATCAAAGTTATAGTTGTTTTATTTTTAAAAATTAAAAATATGCTAATATGAAAGATTCAGAGTAATACTTTCCAAATTCGTTTCTTCTTTATTTATTTATTTACTTACTATCCTTATTTATTTATTTAGTCATTTTCAACATATTTTACATGTATGCTTGATGAACATGCAATCAGAAGCACCTACACATACAACATATTATGCTTCCTTAATTTTATGTATATTTATGCAACTACTCCATCAAATGATTCAGACCATTTAAAGGCACCGCAGCTTGTTATAAATGATCACCAGTTTAATGGGCACTGATCCATGAATTTTACCCACTAATCCATGAAATCTTCACTTGCATCACCTTGAGAATTTATCCACATGTTTCACAATCAGAACTAGTAGTTATAAGGACTCATTCAGTATTAGATAAATGCTTGTACATAGTGTTGTGATCTCATGGTTCTCAACAGTTTTGTGCTGTTGAAACAGACCCTAACAATTCTAGTAAAACTCACACTTCCGGCGTTTTTCTCACCTGAAAGATTGGTGCGCATCAAACGGCTATTTGTCGACGGATCCAAGCTCCGGGGGGATGGATCCACAGAGTCTGGCCTCCCCCCTTTTCGATGCGTTCATGCATGCAGAACGTCGCGATGGCTGCTAGGTTCGATTGCTGTGCTCCATATCGCTGATGAAAACGCTTGGCTTCGGTACCAGGGAAGAAACGCAGTCGCCACGCCTATATGTCTGCGCGTAGATTCCCCCTCATGACCAACTGAGAGCATCAAGCATTAGGGTCTAATAGCGAAGAGGCTCTGGAACTAGTGTAGAGTGAGTCCTAAGACAGTGCGGCTTGCAGTTCTGAAGCGTCGGAACAGCGTTACAAGGTAGAGTGACACGGGTTTCGCGACAAAATCTAGCACAATGTGGAATGCTCACGAGCTGGTCGGATTTTCATGGAGCATGACCGAATGAAGACTTATAAAGTGTTCTGCCCAAGATCTGCTTGCATAGTCAGGAGAACAAGGACTACCAAGGCAGGATCAGCCAAAATTTTGCTGCAAAGGAATTCAGAGCATCGTATCTTAAGCAGAATCTAGACCTGATCCAAACGCGTTTGTTGTCGTCCAACACGACCTGATTCGTTGAGAAACACTCACCTGGCGATGCACTCACGAACACAACATCGACTTCAAACACGCGCTGTGCCGTTGTTATTACAGATTTCTCCAACGACACTAAAACACACTCCACAAACACCACCTGGGCCAAAATCCTCAACTACACCAGACCACCAGTCTGGTAACGAGCAGACACATCAAGCTCAACACAAGCCGTGCTTAACACCCTAAGACCTGACCAGTCGGTGGATGCATCGACAAGCCCACGGGTGCCAACTTAGCAACCATCGCAATCGGATTCTCTTCACAGTCGACTAGTAGTTGCCTCGGGCATTGAATTATCCCATCGCGTCCACCGATTCCCACGTAAATATTATAACCAAAGAAATTGACCCTGATCAGAATGGCCGCAGACAGTGAGTTCGATGATGCGGAGCACCCAGTGCTTGTCGTCTTCTCGCGGTTCTTTCGATCACCACCTTGTTATCGCTCGATCTAGATCGCCCATGAGGGAGATTGCTCGTTCCCCCAACGATCTGCTTCCGAATCATCGAACAATTTGTGCCGCGTTTGCATCGATGCGGGTCCGTCCTCTTTTGCATTTCGGAGCGATTGATATGTTGTATAATGAATGGATGTGCTCTGTTAAATGGATGAACGAAAAGTGTTTATGTTGGGTGGACGTTAGTTGGTGCTTCATTCGTAGATCGATGTCGAGTTTCATTTGTTCCTGTTGGTGTTGAAATGTGTCATGGGATTTATAGTTCCGGTGGTTTATGTTTGATTGTTATTATTTATGGTATATATAATACTATGTAGCTTATCTCAAATTTCTTTTAACCTAATTATTTAAGTAGTTACAATGAATAAAAATCATGTTTTTCAATTACATTGTAGAAACATAAATGATTCCATTGTTATGCATGTATGTTCTTTTTTAATTTATTTTTTTCTTTCAATATTTTGGTCAAAAATTCTATAAGAATAAACAGTTTTTGACTTAGCAACCACAAATTAAACTTCTACAATGTTTTCATGGCCAATGCCATGGGATTCTACTAGTGTGTATGTATATATATGTATATATATATATATATATATATATTATTTAGATTTTGTGACAATGAGTTGTTTTTTGAATGTATGCTTTTGGTGACTATTTTCAGTAATTAAAGTTTATAATTTGAATGTGATGTACTGGCATTGAGGTCGTAATAACCCGTACATGATGCACTTGCATTGAGATTCTTCTTGGTTTTGTACTTGCATTGTTTATTTCATTGATCTATTTTTTAACAATTATTTTTTCAAATGTAATTTAATTATTTTAAGAATTTATTATATTAAATATATATAATGTTATCTTAAATAGTGATGTACGTAATATTATCAAATTATTGGAAGAAGAAGAAGAATATATATATATATATATATATACATAAAATAAAATGTATGGTTCATGTGAATAAGATCCAAATATTTTAATTATTTAAAATTTAAAATAATTTTACTTTTTGACTATTATGGTTCTTTGTAAAATAAATATATATACAAGAAAATATAGAAAAAGTGTTGAAATAAATAAAATAATTAGTGGGTAAATTTTTTAAAATTAATAAATAATAAAATTAAATATTTTTGAAAATTAATAAAAATTAAATATATTCTTTTCATAGAAAAGTATGTATTAAAATTTAAAAACTTGAAGTTTTTTAAAGAATGTATGTTGTATATTTAGATTTTTATTTATTTTTTTGTATTGGAATAGACCTCTTTTGTACTAGATAGACATTCCCTTGTGCTACACCAACAATACATTAGTAATACAAGTTTTTCAACAAGCTGGACACTTATGATACTGAAAGGTGTAAAAACAACAACAAAAAACAACAATCTAAAATACAAGAACATTAGAAACTCAAAATCTAATCAAAGCAAACAAAACAAATAGTAAAAAGAGGGTGTTCATCCAACAAAAGTGCTATATGAATATTCCTTTTATTTGAATTTTTTTATTTAGTTTTTGTATTGCTGATGTTCATGCGTTGTTGTTGTTGTTGTGTTGTGTTTTTTTTCTTTTTTTCTTTCTTTTTTTCTTTTTTTTCTTAAATACCTTTCAATCTTGGTATCTTGCTTGTTGAAAAACTTGTAGCAATGTTCTATAGTTGGTGTGGCACAAAGAAATGTCTATGTAGTAAAAAGTAGTATCTATCCATCAGTTTTTTTTCTTATAATAAAATAAAAGTTTGAGTTCTTTCATAATTGCAATAGAATAAATTCTAATTATAAATATTATCTTATCAAAAAAATATTTTTTTAATTAAATATGAAAGGTTGTATATATTTAAAAATAGTAAAATAAATGAAAATTAGTTGTACTACAAGAAATGATATTTTGTATTAGTAAAAAACTTCTATAAAAGAATAATTTGTAGTTTTTTATACTAAAGTAGGTAAGTGCATTTCATTATCTTAATAGTAAAATATATCCATTATTTGTTTTATCTTAAATATTTTTTAGTAATTAAAATTTGCTAATTTGAATTTTATCTTGTCTTACTAAACCAATATTTACTTAATCTTGATATTTTTAAAAATACGTACTAAAATTATTTTAATTATTTTATAACTTTTTCATAGTTTAATTTAAAAGTTTTGGTTACTTTTATCAAACTATATATAAGTAATGTTTTTAATCTTCCTAAAATAATATAATTACAATACAATTTTTTTCTTTAAATTAGATTTTTTTATTAGTAATACAGAAATAAAAAAAAATACAATACAAGAAATTGAAAACTATTTTAAAAATAATATCTTTTTGTTGAATTCTATATATAGTATATTTATAATTTAGATATATTTTGTTAAATACTGTATATAACATAAAAATTTAATACCATTTTTTTTTTCATATACATGCATATGGATTAAATAAAAATACATATATATATATATATATATATATATCAATTCAATCTTGAAGAATATTTGAAGCTAAATTCTTTAAAATCAAAAAGAAAAATCAATAAAGTTCAATAATTTTACATAATTGATGTCTTTCATTTATATAAAATCTAACATATTTATTTCTAATTTCAAGTTCTACCATTAAAATTTTAAATTTTAACCGTATATATAAATAGATAAATATAATGATCCATAATGCTGAAGAATCCTTTCAATGAAAACCAATATGATAATCACTTTAAAATGATTAAGTTTTTGTAAACCCACTTTCCTTTCTTTTCATTTCATAATCATTTTGTACTAATGAAATTTCTTAAAATTTGAACTACATTAATTTTAATTTACCTCAATAAATTTCTATACTTTACATTGATAAGAAAATAATATTTATCATATATAATATTTGATGTATTCTGAATTATCTAATTATGACTTAATTTAGATGATTTATAAATTCAATCTATTTAGATTTAAAACTGTGTACTCATGGATTAATCTTATATGAAGATAAAAAGGTTGTCAAAGGAGGCATTGATGTAACAGCAAGATTTTTTAAAAACTAAAGCCCTAAAGATACTGTAAAAGTTTGAGATAAAAAAATGTGAAAAATGATCAACATGATTTATCTTGATTTGATCAGAAACAAAATCTACCCATCTCGTTGGTATAAAGAAGTAGGGACCAACTCAAATGAAAAAAACCTAATGTGTTGAAATCAATCATACTTTTTAAACACAATTTCTTACAAAGTTTAAACACCAAAAGACAAAACATGACACAATCCCAAGGGGGATAGTGTTACAAAGATGCATTGGGACAAAAGTGTTGGCCATCACTTTGTCTCTTTTTATTTTTGTGGCTTGCCAAGACTGAGACCTTTCTATTGGATTTGAGTTTTTTTAGACCCTTCATAGGATGGCAATGTAGGGTACAAATTTAATAAACTAAATGGCCACCACTTGAAACTCCAAACTTGTGAGCACTTGTCTCCGGATTCCAAAGCATAGAGAAAGGAGGGAGGGAGCCAGACACATAAACCCTACAACCCCCCCCCAAAGCCTTAAATGATGGGGATCCTTGGTTTTGATTAAGTCCATGTCCACAAATATAATATATATATATATATATATATATATCTCTGTGTGTGTGTATACACACATGCACACTTGGCCACACTTTTTTGTGGAAAAGTCAATTTGAAACCAAAAAACACAAAAGTGACAGAGAAATTATTGGGCACAAGAGCCATTGCAAAGAAGAAAAATATTGAGGAAAGATGTGAATGGGACATTGGATCACTAAAGTTGGTGAAACATGCTCCAATAATGGAATCAATTTTAACACTGGGAAGAAAAAGAGAGGTAAAAAGAACAACTGGAAGAAAAAGAAAGCATGGAAGAAATAGTTTTGCATTTGTGGGTCACATTCAGAAATTTCACAATTGCACTTGTTAAACAACTGGTTTTGTTTTTTGTTTTTCTTATTCTTAATGTTCTTTAAGTTTCAATTAATAACAATAATAATAATAATATTGTCATGATCTTGTCCCAGGGTCCAAGTTGAATGGATAACATGCTGTCTGATGAGTCAGAGAATAAGAGTATCCAACACTCTACAAAACTCTCAAATCACATTAAATTTGTGACCAAAAAGCATAAAAATAAACAAATCCAACTAAGAAATCTGGAGCTACAGCTGTGGCTTTCAAATTTGTGTTGGACTGTTTATTGGTTTACTACACATGCAGCACAGTTTCATTGTTATTTTTAGATACATTGTCATTCATAATGCTTACTTTTTTGTTATTCATTTGTAGGATGTATATTGTTTGCCTCCAGGGTGGGAGACCATGGCTCAGATATTAAAGCCTTTTTGTGCCTTGAGAACTGTTCCCATGCATAACTACATATACACACACTCACACACACACACTAGTTGCATTGGGAATTGATCTTGTCATATGCTTGTGTGAGGATTCCATCCATGCCTTCAATACACATGACACAAAAACTGCTTTTGAAGTCAAATGCTTTCCCTTCAGGATTAGATAATTTCATCTTTTGTATCTATCTATCTATCTATCTATACATACATACATACATACATATATGTATTTGTAAGGGACCTCTGCAGTTATTTTGTAAAATTTCCAAACAGATTTCCTACCATTCTGAGAATGCTAAGAAACCGATTACCATTCCAACAGTTTTGCTTCTTCTTCTTATTATTTACTTTAGAAATAAATAATAAATAATAAATAAAAATAAAATCCATGTTCCCTTGACTTTTTTCAAAACGTTTTCTCCTGCACCATGTCTGGCTGCAATTGGGCAACTGCCAAGTGGACGGGTCCACGTAGGAACTGCGGGGGGGTGCAGCGAATGGGAGGAGGTGGTTGCTTCAAAGAGGACAATGTGGTGTGTGTGTGTTTGTGTTTGTGTCTCGATGTGGGAGTATACAGACATCGCCGTGGCTGTTGCTGTTGCTGCTGCAGGAGGGACACTCAGTCAGTCACTCACTCACTCACGGCGACTTTTCATGCCATCGCTTCAATGCAACCAAGAGCTGGATGCACATGGCGACTACGATTATCGTTCCTGCCGCACACTCAC